ATCTCCTGGAGCGGAAACGACGTGTGGGGGTCCCACGGATATCATGGATACACGTGGCACCTCAACACGAAGTACACGAACCGGTCCAAGGAGGAGCTTGAGGCGCTGAATGAGTGGCCGACAAAGCAACGGCTTCGCGTGGAGAAGGCTGTTCGCAATCTGAGGCTGCTCCTCGCGAGGCATGATGTGTGTGGGATCACCGTTCTCACAGGAGACCATCATTCTGAAGTGTTTCCCACAGGACCTGAGTACGGTCTCTGCATGGAACAGCACGCTGACGCGATGCTTGCCCTTGGCATCAACATTGTCGATCCGATCGAAATGTATGGCCATACTAGCAAGCCTGACGACTTCCACGCTGATGCGTCGGACAGGAACAAACAGGTCATGGTCCCATGGCATTGTTCACTGCTCCGTGGTGTTTTTGTCAATCATCAGCTTATGAAGGTTCGTGATCAGTTGGTCGCCAACCAAAGGGATGTGGTGTTTCACAACCACTTTTTGATGGGGAAGGCGGAACCCTTCTTGACGGTGCCACCTGCGTCGGCGCAGCTCATCCACAAGCCGATCGAAGATCCAAACCCACCTCAGGCGAGGGAGGCTGAAGAGGAGATCGTCCTTTCTGGCCCACTCCTGGGGGAGATGGAAGAGCCGAGCATGATGCAGGTTCCCGAGGTCCCGAATGCTCAGGAAGAAATTTCTGACTTGGACTTTGCTCGCCTTGATACGAGACCTGGGGCCGGCTGCGTCGTGGAAGGTGCCGAATCCGCACTCCTCAACGTCATCACAGAGGACATCATCAAGGCCACCTTCGAGGCCGCGAAGGACGCCACCGAAGAGGAGCTCAAGCAGGCCGCCGTTGAGGCACAGGTCGTTAATCTCGACGACTTTGTGGAGGCGGAAGAGCTCCCGGCGGAAGCCAAGGGAAGGGAGACGTACGTCGCCCAACCGGGCAGGATCGAGGGAGCCGCTTCCTCGGCCGATGTCCGGCCCCCGGCTGGTCCCACGGCCGCAATGGAGGAGTCAGAGGATGAGGTCGTCATCATGGACGCCCCTCTGACGAGTGAGGCCACGATTCAGAAGCCATTTACGCCGGCTGCTAAGCCAAAGCCGCCTGCGCTTCCGAGGTGGATGACGGCCGATCAGCTCCCGCCTTTGCCAGACGACTACCGCTGGCTGACGCCGGGCGCACGCGTAGCACTCAGCAAGAAGATCAGTTTCCTGACGCGAGGCTTCGCGGAGATTCGCGCGCCGCACCTCCATGTGAAAGCGGCAGAGGATCACTCCCTTAGATGGGACGAGTTCTTCGAGAAACTATCCCAGATGTGGAGGGGGCTGAGGGTGGAAAACGTGGTAGACGCGTTGCTACACAACGACAAGCTCCGTTTCGAGATCAAGGTGAACTTTGGTCTCAACAAGCTCGTCGTCTTCCACGCCATCCGAGCCATCCAGGGGCATAATGCAACCCTCCTCTCTGACGAGACGGACCTCAATGACACGCATGCAGCGGTCTACCACTTAGCCGAATCCTGGTTTCCGACATTGAAGGATCGGCCCCCGGTGGGAACTGAGGGAATCAAATCGGAGATGTGGACGGAGATGCCGCCGCTTGGATACCACAGCACCAAATGGTCTTCTTTCGGCTCCATCGTGGAGAACGGCCTCATTCCAGGCGGGTGCGGGGCGACCGCTGAGGGCGCACGGAATTTCCTCATGATGTCCCCTATCCCCGCGTGGGAACGCAGGGACCATCAGGGCGTGCGCGAAAACGCGGAGATTGAGTTCGTTGTGGACCTGCAACTAGCTGCTTTGGACGGGGTCAGGATTCTTCGTACGAAAGCAGATGCTGTGGAAACTCCTGATTGGTTGTCCAACAGGTATCTCATTTATGCGTACGAGCGCAAGTCGTTGACCCCAATCTGGCACAACCGCGTGTACGAACAGTTGAGAGTCAGAGTACACAAGGCCAGGAAAGATTTCCTCGCCGGGCGGGAGCCAGGGCCAATTTACGAGGAGCATGTACTCCGGAGGTGGCAGAGCAAGAGCCCCATGCCGGGATGCTACATTGACTTCCTCTGCTCGGAGGCGGAAGACCTCTCGTTCGATGAGTACAAGCACATCTGCAACAACATGCATTCCCCCTTTCAGATCGCGGAGGATGAAAATATCACCGTCAACGGGGAGGCCATCAACGCAGACGACGTTACCTTTCACACAGAGGCAAAGCCCCAATATGTGGGTAACGCTCGATGGGGCTCCCGTCTGAAGACGTGGTACTCCGCGCTGGGGCGCAGGACGGATGTGAGATACCGATCGAAGCTTGAGCATTACGTAATTCAAGAGTTCGTGGATTTTCCCACTCTCAGATGCGGCTCATGCAATCGGGACTTCGTCGACGGGATGATCAATTGTCCATGGTGTTCGGTCCGTATTTCTGCCGAGAGCGATATGGCACACGTCACAGAAACCAAAAGGGCGCGCGATGAAGCCAGCCGAAGGGGAACGGGGATTGATCTCCTCGCTATCGCCCCCCGGAAGGGGTTGGCCATGAATCGACATCGCGTCCGTCAGGGTCGTGACGATGATGACATCAGTCTCCCGGCGGCAGTCAGAGGAAAGTGTTTGGCCATGAAGAAGAGTCTCGCAAAGCGGGGTGGAGGTGATCACTTGCTGGAGCTTCTCGACGAGCCCCTCGATGCGTACAACTACGTGTCAAAAGGCATTGACATCGGAAGTCTCGCCCAGCTTGGGTTGTTTACGCGCCTTCACAATCCCGCACCCGGAGGGGATGCGCGTGGTCGCAAAGAGTTTGCAGGGAGCCACAATGCTGACGCTCGCCTTAGCATCGCCTGGATGCCTGGTGACACCGAGATCGTCTTGAACCGAGCGTTTTTCATCGCGTTCTCTTCCAGGCTTTACATCCTTGACGAGGCGGCCATGCTCATCTATGCCACACAGCAGACGTACTTCGGCCAAAGGTTTCCTTTTTCGATCCTCGGTTTTGATGGCGAGATCTACACTCCGGAGCCAGCCTCGGTCACAGAGCTTGCAGCACAGTTGGCAGAATTCTTCAAAGTCCAACTTGGCTTCGCCGGGACCTACGATGATCCGGCACCCACTGAGGTAACCATGTCAGGGAATCTTCGCATCCCGGAAGGGTTTGCCTCTATGGGCCAGACGCAACTCAATGAAGTCCTGCGCGATACCCGCTTCTACGACAGACGTCTTGCCAGGACTGCCTATGATCCGGAATGGGTCAGAGCCTCGAGGGCGAGGAGTGCAGGCTACATGCGCGCACCTCCTCCTCCCGGAAGGGATGGTCCAAGGGCATCTTCATCAAGACGTTATGGAAGGGCTTCGGCGTCCCCTGCAAGACAGCACTCGGAGGGAGCCAATGACCCCACTCGTGACAGGACCCGATCATCATCGGCATATGGTGCCAATCGTGGAAGATCACCGAGGAGGACTGGTTCCTATGTAGAGCCAACCAGCAAGGCAACGCCGCCAAGACTGCGCTCCGCCACACCAAGACCTCCAGCTGCGAGACGTCAGTCGAGCCAGCAAGATCAGCCCGCTGCCTCACGCAGACGCGTTGAGCCAACCAACCCTACCGAGACGGAGGGAGAATGGCTTCGAGCGCGCCGTGAACGGGTCAATCAAATGATTGAGACCAGGCTGGATGAGCTTACGCAGCTGCTCGAGAGACCGCTTGGCATCACCTTTCCCTACAACGTCGATGGTGAGGAGATCAACGGGCGGGAGCCACGTCATCCCAGATTCAACCGCCTTGAAGCTTATTACTGGGCAATGCTTTATGCACGCGACCAGCACTATATCCAGGAAGAGGAGGTCGTGAACTGCATTCCATCCTTCGGGCAGCTCAATCGGGTGGTCGTATATGATTACGAGAACGTGATCTGGTACCTCAACGGCTGGGAGCACAAAGTCACCGACCCTTTCACAGGTGAAACCACTCGCCGTTACTGAGGAAAGACCTCCACTCGGAAGAGTTGGATGCATTTGCTGCACCAACCGTGGATCATCTTCTCAAGCTTCGCACATGGACACCACTCTGACGAGTTGGTTGCTGAGCAGTAGAAGCCGGTAACTAACCTTTCTTTAGAGTGTAGATGTTTCTCAACTCCCTGACGGGTGGTAGCTACTCACTACTGGTCAGTGGAGTATAGTTTAGGCGAACATTCTTTTGTGTGTTCTTCCAGCTAACGGAAAAGAACGCCTCTACCGTTGCACTAAGTTGCGCGGGGGGTGTAGTTACTGGAAGACACAAGCTGTATTCACCCGTTCGCCGTGGCTCAAGAAAATGATTGTTCAGGGCTATCCGCTGGTAACAATAAACCCGAAACCCTAAACCCTAAACCCTAAACCCTAAACCCTAAACCCGAAACCCGAAACCCGAAACCCGAAACCCGAAACCCGAAACCCTAAACCCTAAACCCTAAACCCTAACCCTCTGGCACCTTAGGCGCAGCCGTCCAAAAAGTGCAGGCGCCGCAGGCGAAGGTGCCCCAACAACTTCGAGCTCTGGGCGGCTTAGTGTCTTAGGGTTCAGGGTCTAGGTTTTAGGGTTTAGGGTTTAGGGTTTGGGGTTTAGGGTTTAGGGTTTAGGGTTAGGGTTTAGGGTTTATAGGGTTTAGGGTTTAAGGGTCTTCGGGCATACGTAGGGGCTCGGTGTTTTGGCTTAGGGAGTAGAGCTATTTGCGTTGAGGTTTGGGATCAGGGTTTTGGGGGGGCCTAGGCCCTAAACCCGAAACCCATGCCCCCTGCAGACAATAGATTCTTGGGGGGGTCCAAAACAGATGGCGTGAGCTGAAAGCATTCGATGTTGCAATGCACCCATACTAAACCCCCCAAAATCCTAAACCGCAAGCTATACACCCTAACTCCTAACCTGTTCCTGAATCATGGGGCATACCGGGGTCCCAACTGGCAAGGCCCCGTACAGCGAAGCTCCCCCCCCACTTCCTCAACCGACTCCCCAGATGCAGCCAAAGCCGACGGGGAAAACGACGGCATCTTGGATAAGGGTCTAGGGTTTGGGGTTTCTCTGGGATTTGGGTTTTTGATTTTGGTTTTGGTGAATGTGGGCATTTTCCCAGGTATTTATGGTAAGTGTGTTTATGTGGTGTCTCGACCCCAATACTGTACCCACAGTCAGAACGTAAACCCTGAACAGTTTGGCGGAAGCTAAACCCAAACCCTAAACCCTCGCTAAGGGGTACATCGGGGCCTCTGACTAGTCGGTGGGTTTTAGATTTTTGGGTTTCAGGTTTTAGGTTTTGGGGTTTGTTTTTTTGGGGGGTGGAGAATATAGGGTTTGAGTGTAGGGTGATACTTTAGGGGGCCTAAGTGGCCTGGTGTTTGCTGGGTTTAGGGTTTATAGGGCTTATCGACCTAGCAAGCGCATGCCTTCGAGGTTTTCTGGTTAGGACGCCTCCGCCCCCCCCCCCCCCCCCCCCCCCTCTTGTCCTCCGAGTTGCATCTTAAAAGGAGCCGCTCCAGCGGCAGCGCCCCGGAAAGGGACGAAATCTTCTGACGACGCCCAAAAACTTGTCCGTATGGGATGCGCGTCAAATTAGCACGCATACATTAGACCTATTGGTCAGTTCTGTAAATTAGGGTCGGTACCCTAAAGAAGAAGAGGCCGCCCTTACGATCAGGAACCAAACCAGGCCCTAATTCAGAGAAGTGACCTTATGCGCGCACACACACACAGCAACCCTAAACCCTAAACCCTAAACCCTAAACCCTAAACCCTAAACCCTAAACCCTAAACCCTAAACCCTAAACCCTAAACCCTAAACCCTAAACCCTAAACCCTAAACCCTAACCCTAAACCCTAATCCTAAACCCTAAACCCTAAACCTAAACCCTAAACCCTGAAACCTAAACCCTAAACCCTAAACCCTAAACCCTAAACCGTAAACCCTAAGCAGTCAGATGGATACGATCGACAACAGATAGATCGGCAGATCGACGGATAGATACACGAATCCCCGACCCTAATCCCTACACCCCGGCACCCTGAACCCTGAACCCCAAACTCAGAACCGTAGGCCGTAAGTCCTAAACCCTAAACCCTAAACCCTAAGCCCTAAACCCTGAACCCTGAACCCTGAACCCTGAACCCCAAACCCTAAATCCTAAACCCTAAACCAGCACTCTACATCTGAAGCCGACAGTCTCAGAGGTAATGTTGCGCAACTTGCCGAACAACTTCTCGCGTGACATGCTCCTGTCCATGCTGGACAAGCGTGGCTTCGCAGGAGCGGCCAAGGGTTTAGGGTTTAGGGTTTGGGGTTTACGGTTTGGGGTTTGGGGTTTAGGGTTTAGGGTTTAGGGTTTAGGGGTCTCTCTCTCTCTCTCTATGTATGTTCTTGTATCTCTTGCAGAATGTAGATCTCTACTTCTCTAGAACACTCCCAAAACCCTCCTCGCTTCAGAGAACCCTGAACTCTAAACCCTAAATCTCAAACCCTAAGCCTTAAGCCCTAAGCCCTAAACCCTAAGCCCGAAACCCTACACCCGAAACCCTATACCCTAAACCCGAAACCCTAAGCCCTAAACCCTAAACCCTAAACCCTGAACTCAATTTGAGGGTTGGAGGCTCTAGGACTGAGCGGTACTTTTTGTGGGTTAGGGCCGCGCTGTTGCCAAGCTGCCAAGTTCCCATTTTTGCGCAGAAGCCCTAAACCACAGGGCTTTAGGGTTTAGGGTTTAGGGTTGTGTAGTGTTTAGGGTTAAGGCCCCCACGCTGGAACAGTATCCCACAATCCTTTAGGGTTTAGGGTTTAGGGTTTAGGGTTTGGGGTTTAGGGTTTAGGGTTTAGGGTTTGGGGTTTAGGGTTTAGGGTTCAGGGCTTACCCTCTAAATCATCTAGGCCTGGGGTGCCGAATCCAGGCCGCTACGACTTCCTGTACCTTCCCTTCGACTTCTGCCGCAACGCGTGCCTAGTCAAGAAGAGGTTTAGGGTTTGGGGTTTAGGGTTTGGGGTTTAGGGTTTGGGGTTCAGGGTTTGGGGTTTAGGGTTTGGGGCTTAGGGTTTGGGGCTTAGGGTTTGGGGTTTGGGGTTTAGGGTTTGGGGTTTAGGGTTTGGGGTTTAGGGTTTGGGGCTTAGGGTTTGGGGTTTAGGGTTTGGGGCTTGGGGTTTAGGGTTTGGGGTTTAGGGTTTGGGGTTTAGGGTTTGGGGTTTAGGGTTTGGGGCTTAGGGTTTAGGGTTTTGGGGTTTGGGGTTTAGGGCTTAGGGCCACTGAACCCTGTCGGATTCGGTCGGATTAGGGCTTAGGGTCTTTGCTTGTGCTTAGGGTCAGCAACACATATGGGGGGGGGGGGGCTTCTCAAAGGGTTCCGGCATGGTTTTTGTAAGGTGCCGTAATTTGCCAGGGTCCCAAACAGTAGAAGGGAAGAGACCCTGATGTCGAGCACGGCTCAACCTTAGACCCTAAACCCTAAACCCTAAACCGTAAACCCTAAACCCTAATTAAACCCTAAACCATTCTACCATAGACCCCAAATGTTAAACACTAATTGTAGAATTTGATCCGTTTTTTGTTTTTCACTTTTTTTTTACCCCCCCATTGTTCAGCACGAATTGAAGAATTTGATCCATTTTGGCCCCTCCGACCCCTTTGATCCCCCCATTGTTCAGCACGAATTGGAGAATTTGATCCATTTGGCCCCTCCGACCCCTTGACCCCCCATTGTTCAGCACGAATAAGAAACTAATAAACTTTCTATTTTCGTAATGTGATGGGATTCTTTGGGCGGGTGGGTTTTGTTCCGTTGCCTACACACACTGCTGGCCTAGTAAATGCTCGAACTTGAGATGCTGAACCCTAAACCCTAAACCCTAAACCCTACACCCTAAACCCTAAACCCTAAACCCTAAACCCTAAACCCTAAACCCTAAACCCTAAACCCTAAACCCTAAACCCTAAATCCTAAACCCTAAACCCTAAGCCCTAAATCCTAAACCCTAAACCCTAAACCCTAGTCTTGCCCAAGCTCTACAGGAACCTCGGCTATGCCTTCGTGAACATGGTGGACGCGGAGGCGTTTCAGCCCTGAGAGAGCTAAACCCTGAACCCTGAACCCTGAACCCTAAACCCTAAACCCTAAACCCTAAGCCCTAAGCCCTAACCCCAAACCTTGAACCCTCAACTCCGTGCCCCGCCCCAGGCTGCGGACGCCCTTTGGAAGGCCCTTGAAGGCTTTACAGCTTGGGGGCTGACTTCACACAAGGTGGGGCCCTAAACCCTAAACCCTAAACCCTAAACCCTAAACCCTAAACCCTAAACCCTAAACCCTAAACCCTAAACCCTAAACCCTAAACCCTAAACCCTAAACCCTAAACCCTAAACCCTAAACCCTAAACCCTAAACCCTAAACCTAACCCTAAACCCTAAACCCTAAACCCTAAACCCTAAACCCTAAACCCTAAACCCTAAACCCTAAACCCTAAACCCTAAACCCTAAACCCTAAACCCCGAACCGTAAACCCTAAACCCCGAACCCTAAACCCCGAACCCTAAACCCTGAACCCTAAACCCTGTACCCTGAACCCTAAACCCTAAACCCTAAGCCCCCGAAACCCCCAGACTCCCTAAGCTCGCTAAGCTCCCCACACTCCCTACACTCCCTAAAGTCTCTGAATGGCCTAAACTCCCTCAACTCCCTAAACTCCCCAAACCCTCTAAACCCCCTAACTCCCTGAACCCTAAAGTTCTGGCTTTCAGCCCTCGATGGTGCATGGGCTGCGGGACACATTCCATCCCATTAGGTGCAGCTGTGTCTGGCGCTGAGCTCGAAACCTGGAGTGACTTGATGCAAGGCACCCTAAACCCTAAACCCTGAACCCTGAACCCTAAACCCCCCACACGTTAGTTTGTGGACGACGTCGTTGCATGCTGCATCCCCATCGTCCAAGATGGAGGCGACCCCATGCAAACCAAAGTTCGAGGTGGCCTTGCGTGCGAAAGCGGGGATTGTCAGGCCTTCTGGAGAATATGTTTCTCATGTCAACCCAAGGGTTTAGGGTTTCAGATCCAGGTTTTGGTTCGTGTTTTTTGGTTGGAGACTTGGGAGTGTGAGGAGGCTATCACTGTTTGCTGCTCTCGAAGCCTCCAGAAGCCAACCGCGTGGTTGCACAACCCTAAACCCTAAACCCAAAACCCTAAACCCTAAACCCTCCACCCTCCACCCTTCACCCTCCACCCTCCACCCTCAACCCTCAACCCCAAACCCCAAACCCTAAACCCTAAACCCCAAACCCTAAACCCTAAACCCTCAACCCTCAACCCTAAAGCCTTAACCTCAAGCCTCCGCATCCTCAGCCCTGATCGGAACCAACGCCAAAATCACCGGCACCTTCCCAGACCCCTGGGGGGTATCCAAAAAGGGGTGTAGGGTTTAGGGTTTAGGGTTTAGTGTTTAGGGTTTAGGGTTTAGGGTTTAGGGTGTAGGGTTTAGGCTTTAGGGTTACCTGTGCTGCCATTGGGTCATTCTTAGGATCCGTTAAGAGGATCTACTTCTTGGAGCCTTGCAGGGGTTTGGGTCAAACCCCAAAGCCACAAGCAGAAAAATCAACCTAGAACCTGAAACCCCCAAGTTTTGAGCCCTTTCTGTAGCAGCCTCGATGTTTAGGGTTCAGGATTTAGGGTTTAGGGTTTAGGGTTTTAGGGTTTAGGGAATCCCTGGATGATTGGCAACTCTGAGAGCCATCAACCCTGCTCCTTAAATTTCGATACTCCCCCCAACTGCAGAACTCTCAGCCCTACAGGGTTTACATCCTAAGTCCTTAAAAACCCTAAACCCTAATTTCCTCAACCCCTAAACCCTAAACCTCAACCCCTAAACCCTAAACCCTAAATCCTGAACTCTAAACCCTAAACCCCAAACCCTAAACCCTAAACCCTAAACCCTAAACCCGAAACAAGAGCCGGCAGGTGTGCAGCGTGACTTGGAGTGGCCCGCTTCAGGGCCGGGATGCGCACATCGAGCGCTACAGGAGCCTTGGGGTTTAGGGTTTAGGGTTTAGGGTTTAGGGTTTGGGGTTTGGGTTGCGTCCAGGGTTGTAGGGTCCAGGTTTTCAAGGGTCTTCGGGTTTAGTTCAGGGTTCAACCGGTCAGCAACCCTAAACCCTAAACCCTAAACCCTAAACCCTAAACCCTAAACCCTAAACCCTAAACCCTAAACCCTAAACCCTAAACCCTAAACCCTTAACCCTAAACCCTAAACCCTAAACCCTAAACCCTAAACCCTCAACCCTAGAAGTCCATCGGATTTTCGTTTCGGGCTTTGCTTGAGTCCACTTGCTTTTGTGGCTCCTCGGTGTGTTGGGGGCTCAGGTCTTCCATTTTTCCTACCGCACCTAACCTAGCTATCTAACTAGGACCGGGAGTAGGCCCTTTTTCCCTTTTTTTTGGGGTTGGGGTTCCCTTATAATCCCTTAAAACCGAAAAGGGCACCCTTTTTATTCCTAGGTTACTCCCGGGTCTATCTAACGTAGAGAGCAATTGCATATACGTCTTTCCCGCAGCTCGGCACGTCGTTGGTGTCAAGGATGGAGACGGGGACCCTGCTGCGGGTACGCGTTGTCTGTATTTGAGCAAACCCTAAACCCTAAACCCCAAACCCTAAACCCCAAACCCCAAACCCTAAACCCGAAACCCTAAACCCTAAACCTCAAACCCCAAACCCCAAAACCCCAAATCCGCAAGCCCCCAAAAAGCTTCGGAGCTGGGGAGGAGAGGTACCTTGAACCCTACATCCTCTTGGTAGCCCAGTGGTACCCTTTTCCCCTTTTGTTTTGGGTTCAAGGTTCGCGACCTACCCAAAATGCCCTTATTGCATTAAGGTTGCTGGGCTACCAAGTGCTAACCCTAAACCCTAAACCCTAAACCCTAAACCCTAAGCCCTAAACCCTAAACCCTAAACCCTAAACCCTAAACCCTAAATCCGAGGCACGCTTCCCGAAACCCGTAAGCTCGAAGCGGGCCGCAGGAACAGCCCAGTCATGCACAGCAGCGTTCCCGACTCGCGCCTTGGCAGTGTGTTAACCCGAAGGTCCATTCCTGAGCCCGAAGCCCTGAGCCCTGAGCCCTAGGCCCTAAGCCCTAAGCCCTGAGCCCTGAGCCCTGAGCCCTAAGCCCTGAGCCCTAAATTATGTAGGGCTTAGGGTAAGTAGGGTTGAGGGTTTAGGGCAACGAGTTGCAAGCCGGGTCGCGTGGTACCACCCCCCCTCCCCCCTACCCCCAAATAAGTTCACAGCCATCTTCGGTGACCCTAGTTGACTTTTAACCATGTTAACCTCCTTAGAAATGCTTTCAGACCGACACAGTATAGCTGCCCATGATCCTTCAGGATGGGGGTTTCGGGAGGCCGCCCCAATTAGCCGCAGGGCGAGAGGGAACGATGGGGTGCTCCGTGTCGATGAAAGCCAGGAAATTGCACCACATGATCCGACCTGCTTAGGGTTTAGGGTTTAGGGTTTAGGGTTTAGGGTGTAGGGGTGGGTTAAGCCCTTCTTGAGAATTCCTAGGTAGGAGGGGCAGTATGGTAAGAGGGAAGCGAAGAGGAATGCAAGGGACTGTAGCTTGAACAACTGACGATATCTAGTCCAACAAGCCTTCTGAAGCGTACGAAGCCGCCCGCCTGAAAGCAACAGAAGGGGAGGTCGGACGCAGAATCTCTAGACCCTAAACCCTAAACCCTAAACCCTAAACCCTAAACCCTAAACACTAAACCCTAAACCCTAAACCCTAAACCCTAAACCCTAAACCCTAAACCCTAAACCCTAAGCCCTAAACCCCTAAACCCTAAGCCCTAAGCCCTAAGCCCTAAACCCCTAAACCCCTAAACAGCTCCTTTCCCACCTGAGGTACAAGCCCGTCATCTTGGACTGCGGCGTCCGCACGCCGTTCCCGCGGCCGACGAAGAAAGTCAAGATGCCAACCATGGTATCGTTTTAAGGTTTAGGTAGGGTTTAGGGTTTAGGGTTTAGGGTTTAGGGTTTAGGGTTTAGGGTTTAGGGTTTAGGGTTTAGGGTTTAGGGTTTAGGGTTTAGGGTTTAGGGGTGTATTGAGCGTATAGGTTGTCCAGCGTGCAAGGGTTTAGGTCTTAGGTGCCGTCTCCAGCCGCAGCCTCAGCCAGTTGAGAACTTCGCCTTGCATCATAAAACCCTGAAGCCCTGAAACCCAACCCCAACATATAACACTCCCAGGTCCCAAGACTTATGTAAAAAGCCCTAAACCCTAAACCCTAAACCCTAAACCCTAAACCCTAAACCCTAATGGAGAGCTGCCCCTGGTTGCGGCACTTGAGCTGCGAATTCGTTTGAAGCATACTGGCTTGCTGCTGTTTGGCTTTAGGGTTTAGGGTTTGGGGTTTAGGGTTTAGGGTTTAGGGTTTGGGTTTTAGGGTTTAGGGTTCAGTGTTTAGGGTTTAGGGTTTAGGGTTTGGGGTTTAGGGTTTAGGGTTCAGTGTTTAGGGTTTAGGGTTTAGGGTTAGGGCGTTTTAGCGTTTTGAGGGCTTAGGGCTGTGGACAAAGAATGCACCTAGGAGCCTTTTTAGTCCAAACCTCCTGTTGTAGTACGGATTCCCCATTTAATTAGGTTTTAGGGTTTAGGGTTCAGGGTTCAGGGATTGTTTCACCCTAAACCCTAAACCCTAAACCCTAAACCCTAAATCCTAAACTCTAAACCCTAAAGCCTAAAGCCTAAACCCTAAACCCATATTCGCTCTGAATCTCAAGATCCACGGCGACAATCCAGGATGAAGGCTTGCCGGGAAGTGGACATGCCAATCACCAGCCTTTTCCATTTGCTGGCCACGAACTAAACCCCTCAACCCTCAACCCTCAACCCTAAACCCTAAACCCTCAACCCTCAACCCTCCTAAACCCTAAACCCTAAACCTTAAATCCTAAACGCTTAACCCCTTAACCCTAAACCCGAAACCCTAAACCCCAAACCCTAAACCCTAAACCCTAAACCCTCAACCCTCAACCCTAAACCCTAAACCCTAAACCCTAAACCCTCAACCCTAAACCCTAAACCCGAAACCCTAAACCCTAAACCCCAAACCCTAAACCCCAAACCCTAAACCCTAAACCTTCAAAAAGCGTAGGGAGCCCCAGATAGGATGCGGAAACCTAGGCAGGTCCACCCTTGCTGGCTTAGTGACGCTGATGCTCACGTACTTGGGATCCCGGGATGCTCCGAATCACGGAAGCTTCCTCGGGCGTAGCAAAGCCCCAACACCCTGAAACCCCAAAGCCTAAACCCTCAACCCTCAACCCTGAACCCGCAACTCCTAAACCCGCAACCCTGAAACGCCCAAAACACCAAAACCCTCAACCCTATCGCAGTGGGGGCTCCGGGTTTCAGGTGCTTCCATGCCCCAAGACTCTCAAGAGCCTGTCAGAGCTACACTAAAACTTAAGCCCTCAACTTTTGCGCCCTGGACCCTAGACCCTAAATCCTACACCCTACACCCTAAACCCTAAACCCTAAACCCCAAACCCCAAACCCCAAACCCTTAACCCTACCCGTACCTGAAGCCCTGTAGTATAGCTTTCCGGACACTTCTGGGATCTCACCTAGGATTGGATTAGGGCCGACTCTTTTATGACGGGCCTGACTCCATGCGTCGGGGTGGTCCACCTGGCCTCCGATCACCTTCAGGTTTAGGGTTTAGGGTTTAGGGTTTAGGGTTTAGGGTTTAGGGTTTAGGGTTTAGGGTTCAGGGTTCAGGGTTTGGGGCCGGTACTCAGTTAGGTTTAGGGTTTAGGGGTTTAGGGGTTTTGGGTTTATGGTTTGGGGCTTAGGGTTTTTTTGTGTGGACCCCCAGTTGTGGGTTTAGGGGTTCGGGTATAGGACTTCTAGGGCTTCATGGGTGTTGAGGATTTAGGGTTTGGGGTTTGGGGTTTAGGGTTTAGGGTTTAGAGTTTGGGGTTTAGGGTGTAGGGTGTAGGGCCTAAGAGCTTCCGCCATTCAAAAGGTTTCATGAGGCAGCTTGCGAGCGCGTTGGGCCTTGCGGTTTCGGATTTGGGTCTTGCTCGGCTTTCGGCGGCGGATGCTGTTGTTCTTGTTGCTTTTAAAAGTTACTAGCATTTGGATGTTCTGCTGAAACCCCAAGCCCGAAACCCCAAACCCCAAACCCTCAACCCTCAACCCTGAACCCTAAACCCAAAACCCTAAACCCTAAACCCTAAACCCTTGCATCTCTGGTGGCTTGCGTGTCTAGGCCCGTGACCTGCCCGTACGTTTGAAAGCTGCTCTGCGACCTCCAAGACACCTGACCCCCTCAGCTGGGACTAGTGTCAGGGTTTGGCGGTTTAGGGTTTGGGGTTTGAGGCAAGGTCAGTGGTAGGGCTTAGGGTTCGGGGATTCTCCGGTTTATGACTACCCTAAACCCTAAACCCTAAACCCCAAACCCTGAACCCTGAACCCTAAACCCTAAACCCTAAACCCTAAACCCTAAACTGCTTCCAGGTACATCCATGCTGTCCCAGGTACAAATTTCATGTACGCACGGCCCGTGTCTTAGTTCGTGAATCGTGAATCTCCCAGCTGAAAGGGAGGTTGGGCCAAGGGGAGCGGTGCAGTGCAGTTCCGAATTTTGTGTTCCTGTGGCCTTCAGTGGTAGCTCCCTCGGCACTGCTCTACAGCAACCCCCAAAAAGTTGGAAGCCTTTTTAAGGACGAATAGTGCTGGGATTCCCTATACTTTACTCTTAGGGATTGAGGCTATTGAGTTTCCAACTTTTGGCCTCTACCATAAGGGTTGAGGTAACTATTCGCCTGTCACGTAGACTGTAAGGCTCCCAACATCTTCCCGCACGCCGTAGGTATCGTTTGCCTAAAGGCTGAGGGTTCCGTCTCAGGGTCTACAAACCACCCCTAAACCATAAGCCCTAAGCCCTACATGTTAAACCTGAACTATTCAACTCTACGTAAAGGATCAGGGACTTAGTAAGTAGGGTAATAGTTACGGCAACTCTTCTACCCCCAACTAGGGTACTTATGACACTACATACTAAGTCCAAGTAAACCCCCCTCCCCTAAACCCTAAACCCTAAACCCTAAACCCTAAACCCTAAACCCTAAACCCTAAACCCTAGACCCTAAACGCTAAACCCTAAACCCTAAACCCTAAACCCTAAACCCCAAACCCCAAACCCTAAACCCTAAACCCCAAACCCCTAACCCCTAACACCCCTAAACCCTAAACCCTAAACCCTAAACCCAAAACCCAAAACCCTACACCCTACACCCTAAACCCTAAACCCTAAACCCTAAACCCCAAACCCCAAACCCTAAACCCTAAACCCTAAACCCCAAACCCCTAACCCCTAACCCCTAACCCCTAACCCCTAAACCCAAAACCCAAAACCCTACACCCTACACCCTAAACCCTAAACCCTAAACCCTACACCCTAAACCCTAAACCCTAAACCCTAAACCCTAAACCCTAAACCCAAAGAGCTCAGGGGTTCCGGGTGAAAGGGGAGGTGCACCGAGGCGCCCAGGGGCCCAGCTGCGGTCTTATTCTGCTCAGCAGCAGTTCAGCATGCATAGGGCAGACACTCCAAATCCTAGGGTTTAGGGTTTAGGGTTTAGGGTTTAGGGTTTAGGGTTTGCTCTTATAGTAGTTTCACGACCCCTTAGTATGGGCCCTTGAACGGGGACCCCTTGTATACCCCTTTTGTACCCTGTACAAGTTAAGGGCCCTTACATCAGAACCCTTTAAAGGAGGCAATGCCATATTCAGGGCCCATGAAACTACCCCCAACAAAGCATCCTAAAGCCCTGCACGGCCCCATTTGGAGGTTCATGGTACTTATTAGCCAATTACAACTGTACTCAGAACTATACTTATAGCTACATGCAAGGCCGTATTAAGGGCCCATGAAACTACCCCCAAGAAAGCATCCTAAAGCCATGCACGGCCCCATTTGGAGGTTCATGGCACTTATTAGCCAATTGCAACTGTACTCATAACTATACTTATAGCCACATTAGGGCATGTAAGGGGCTTAGAAGTGGGTTATAAGTACGGTTATCATTGGTTATTAAGTACCATGAACCTCCAAGTACACCCCAAATTCTAAACCCGAAGCCCCATTATGGAATCCTGCCGACTGAAGGGAGATTGGGTTTAGGGGTAGGGTTTTAGGGCTTGGGGTTTAGGGTTTAGGGTGAGACCCCGAGACCCCAAAAATCGCGAAAGCCCTGTGCATGCACCGCATTCGTTTTCCCGCCGCGATGCGATACGATACAGACCCTAGTTTCCCCCCCCCACTGGTTTCTCTCAGCTCTGGGGTGTAGGGGTTCCCCCTCTGCCTCCTTGAACAACAATCTGCCCTCAGCCGCTCTGATTCCAGCCCAAGACCCTAGCCGCTTGATTCCCAGGTTAGGGGGGAACCTAGGACCTCTGGCCGTGGTGCCTCGCCAGGTTCAAGGTGCGTGAAGGTTTGGGGTCTTGGGTATAGGGCTTTCGGGTTCAGGGTCTCGGGTTCAGGGTTTCAGGGTTGACACTCTAGGGTTTCTGGGTTTCGGGTTTCGCATAGAAGGGTCGAGGGTTAGGTTTTTGGGGTTGAGGCTTGTCGGGTTAAGGGTTTCAGGGTTGAGGCATTGTAGGGTTGAGGATCTACGGTTTAGGGTTTTGTGGGGTTGATGGTTTTAGGGTTGAGGGTCTAGGGTTGAGGTTTTTGGGGTTGAGGGTTTTAGGGTTGAGGGTCTAGGGTTTCGGTTTCAGGGTTTCGGCTTTTAGGGTCTAGGAGCACAAAAGGTTTGGGCTGCCATTGTTCAGTCTCTAAGGGTATTGGGGTTTACCACAGCCTCTTGAAGTTTCATGAGGGGAGCATGGCGTACCATGGAAAGAGGTCTAGTTGGGGTTTGGGTTTAGGGTTTAGGGTTCAGAGCTTTGCGGTCTAGGCTAGGTAAACTTGATGAGTCATGTGTTCCCGG